AATTTTTCCGGTGACATAGGCCTTTTGTAAAAGAGAATAGAATGAATTTGGATTAAACACCCCTACCATAGGAGTGGCCTCCGCCTGAATGTCTTCTCCGTCTGACCACATGCCTTCTTCCGGAATCTGTGCGGAATAATCCGATATCTCGCTCCCTTCAGATTGAGGTGGAGAACCGTGATCTGAGATCACATACTCCCTGGGATGCATAGTTTCCGTGGGCGTAGGGGGGGTTGACGGTCCTTGGACCGGAATGGCCCTCCCTGAAGCCGCCATCGCCTGAGCCACCGCCTGTGAGATCATGGCTTGGAGCTGGACAGTAAATGAAGGATGTTCGGGGCCCCGAAGACCCGCCGCCGGCAGCGTGAAAGATGCTGACAGAATTGGGCGAGGGATGACTGTAATAACCTCCCCGAGACCCACAAGACACTGAGGAAGGTCCTGGCTCAGCAGCTGGAATTGAATCTTGGACCTGTAATCTCAATTCTCGGTCAAAGAGGGACAGATGGTCCCATTCATATCCCAGCAAAGAACCCTGGTCCAGGGTCTGCTTGGGAGACCAAGCCCGTGTAAAAGGGGAAGGTCGATGCTTCCCTGATGTGGAAGCAAGAGGAGGGGAGGGGATAAGCTGCGTCTCTCCTGCCTGTCGCTGGGCTTTGGAGAATTGTCGCTCCAGCGCCCTATGCCTGCTATCCGCTTGCTTGTCATCGGCCTTAGAGGCCCGTTTGACCTTGGCCTTGGCTTTTGCAGGTGTATCCTGACTGGATGGCTTGCGTTTTACAGTGCCACTGGAGGTGGAAGCCTGTGAAACGGTGTTATCCGCCATATTGAAATAAACAATAGGAGAGAAACAACAGGCGTTCACCAGGAGATCCCTGGATCGGGCCTGTACTGCAGTAGAAGAAAAAGGCAGGTTGTCACCAGGAGATCCCTGGATCAGTCCTGTTCTGCAGGAGAAGAAAGGGCAGGTTTTCACCAGGAGATCCCTGGATCGGCCCTTTGGTCTGCAGGAGAAAAGAAGGCCACGGCCCACCTGGGTGGTACAGGCCTGCACGAGGGTCTGTGAGGTCTGGCCCGCCGTTAAGCACGGAGTCACTACGCGATATAAGCCGCGCTACGCTCAGGGGCTGTCCTCCCCGTTCAACTTCAGGCCCACTGTAATAGAGAGACAATTTGGTCGAAAAAGTATCAAATGTCAATTAAAGATAAGTCTATATATGAATATAGATATATATCTTGTTTATTTTAATTTTGTTGTATTTTAATTAATTTTTTTAATTTTTTTTTTTACCCTCGTGTCTCACTTAGTGACGGCTAGGGTAAAAGTGCCGACCACTATGCAGACAGCGGAAAACAGGCAAGGCAAGCAGCAGTTCAATCTGTTGGCACTGGATATTTGAAAGGTACTGGCAAGTCATACAGTCTGGAATATTACCAGATAAAATGGAGTGAGAGACTCAAGGTATTTTCCCTATATCCACTAGGTAACCTAAGATGGCGCCTATTAAGCAGCTGAAGCACAAGGTAATGAAGATCTAAAAGAGTGTAATTAGAACTCCTATTCCCCCCCTCCCACATAGGGAGAATCACCAAATAAGTAAGTTGCTTTGTGACTGAAAAGGCTGTAATTAGGTCAAGGCAGTCAATTTAATGTGTGCAATCGGGCGGAGCCCAAAATGGCGGCCGTGACGATCTAATGAGAAATAAAACAAGCTGAGAGAAAAGATCCTCTTCTGCAAGTAATCTGGTAATAAGTTCTTTTAGTCAAACAGTTCACCTGTGGTTTAATCAACAGTAACAAGGAAGTACTTAAGTAATGTGAGGATCGAGCCGTCTGGAGGCTCAAATGGTGCTCGCAGGTTGTTTGAATTGGTAATGAGCCCAGGAAGGTGAATTCAGAGTTTTCAGCCGAAAACTAGTAGTTTAAAGCTTCGCATTCACAGCGAAGATCCTTGGAGGGGGTGGGGGGGTGGATTGTAATGAGGAGGCAGGATCAACGATCAGCTGTCTGCCTCTGAAAAACTCAACGGAGAAGGGAATTGATTAAAGAGAGAAGAAATGGTGCAGCTCTGAGCTCAGCTGAACCAATCTCCCCCCCCCCAAAGAAGGAGAAAAAAAGGATAGAGAATCCACGAATGGCAATAACTACCTTTCTGAATCTAAATCTGGAGCCAAATTCTCACGTCTCTTCAGGGCTGAGACCAAATGAAACTGGGGCATGGTCAGACCCTGCAGAGGCGTGGCTACTTTGATTGTTTGGTCTGATTGGGCTAGAAGACTAAATCAACCCATTCGTGGATTCTACATTCCTCTACATGCTGGAGAATAGCTAGAAAAGATAAGAATGCCCTCTTAAATGAACAGTGAAATAGAAGAAATAGAAGAAAATAATAGAATAGGGAGAACCAGAGATCTCTTCAAGAAAATTGGAGATATGAAGGGAATGTTTCATGCAAAGATGGGCATGATAAAGGACCAAAATGGCAGAGACCTAACAGAGGCAGAAGAGATTAAGAAGAGGTGGCAAAATTACACAGAAGAACTATACAAGAACGAGCTTAACGTCCCTGATAACCACGATGGGGTGGTCACTGACCTCGAGCCAGACATCCTAGAATGTGAAGTGAAATGGGCCTTAGGAAAGCTGAGCAACAACAAAGCTAGTGGAGGTGACAGTATTCCAGCTGAGCTATTCAAAATCTTAAAAGACGATGCAGTAAAAGTGCTACACTCAATTTGCCAGCAAATTTGGAAAATTCAACAGTGGCCCCAGGATTGGAAAAGGTCAGTTTACATTCCAATTCCAAAGAAAGGCAATGCCAAAGAATGTTCAAACTATCGCACCATTGCACTCATTTCACATGCAAGTAAAGTTATGCTTAAAATCCTACAAGCTAGACTCCAGCAGTATGTGGATTGAGAACTTCCAGAAGTACAGGCAGGATTTCGAAGAGGCAGAGGAACTAGAGATCAAATTGCCAACATACGCTGGATCATGGAGAAAGCTAGGGAGTTCCAGAAAAACATCTACCTCTGCTTCACTGACTATGCTAAAGCCTTTGATTGTGTGGATCACAACAAATTGTGGCAAGTTCTTAAAGAGATGGGAATACCAGACCATCTTATTTGTCTCTTGAGAAACCTATATGCTGGTCAAGAAGCAACAGTGAGAACTGGACACGGAACCACTGATTGGTTCAAAATTGGGAAAGGAGTCCGGCAAGGCTGTATTCTGTCGCCCTGCCTATTTAACTTATATGCAGAGAAAGGCAGAGCTAGATGAATCAGAAAGGCAGGACTAGATGAATCAAAAGTTGGAATTAAGATTGCCGGGAAAAATATCAACAACCTAAGATATGCAGATGATACCACTCTAATGGCAGAAAGTGAAGAACTAAAGAGCCTCTTGATGCGGGTAAAGAAGGAGAGTGCAAAAGTTGGCTTGAAACTCAACATCAAGAAAACCAAGATCATGGCATCCATCCCTCTCAATTCCTGGCAAATAGATGGGGAAGAAATGGAGGTAGTGACAGATTTTATCTTCCTGGACTCCAAGATCACCACAGATGGGGACTGTAGCCAAGAAATTAAAAGACGCTTGCTCCTGGGGAGGAAAGCTATGGCAAATCTAGACAGCATACTAAAAAGCAGAGACATCACCCTGCCAACAAAAGTACGTATAGTCAAGGCTATGGTTTTCCCAGCTGCAATGTATGGCTGTGAAAGTTGGACCATAAGAAAGGCTGAGCACAAAAGAATTGAGGCCTTTGAACTATGGTGCTGGACAAGACTCCTGCGAGTCCCCTGGACTGCAAGGCGATCAAACTGGTCAGTCCTAGAGGAGATCAACCCTGACTGCTCTTTAGAAGGCCAGATCCTGAAGTTGAAACTCAAGTACTTTGGCCACCTAATGAGAAGGAAGGACTCACTGGAGAAGACCCTAATGCTGGGAAAGATTGAGGGCAATAGAAGAAGAGGATGACAGAGAATGAGGTGGCTGGATGGAGTCACTGAAGCAGTAGACGTGAGCTTAAATGGACTCCAGAAGATGGTAGAGGACAGGAAGACCTGGATGAACGTTGTCCATGGGGTCGCGATGGGTTGGACATGACTTCGCAACTAACAACCACAAAGCACCTCCTGGAACTAATTAACGAGTACCAAGGTACCACTGTATTTTATTATTATAATATATTGAGGGGATGCTCCTCTCTCGTGGCATCTGCCTCTGGGACACCATTCCCCCAAAATTTGTTAAGACTCTCACCCTAAAACAAGCCCTAAGACCTGGCTCAATCCTCAAGATTTAGGTTAGTGCTGGTGATGATTCTATAACTTTTTTTTTTTTTAAATGATTGGGTTTTTTTAGGTGTTTGATGATTTTTGTATTTCATAGTATTTTATTGTATGGTTATATTTTGTAAGCCACCCAGAGTCATAACAGATTGGGGAAGTCTATAAATTTCATAATTAAATAAATATTATTATATCAAATCAAGCCCAGCAGGGATTTTTTTACTGAACGATAAAGAGCATAAGTTACCATGCTGGTTCAGCGTGGATTGGTAGATAGATATTTTTCAATTTCCAAGTCTAGGGATGAGGGAATTACTTGCGCTGTATTACCCACGACCCATCTGAGGTATAGTGGCTAAAGTTCTGGACTAGGAGAAGAAAGAACCAGGATCTAATTCTCACTTAGGCATGGAAATTGGCTACGTTAAAATCTGTGTGTGTGTGTGTCCCTTCCCTCTCTCCATAATATTTTATGATAAGATTTCCAACCCCAACTCAGTAACCTAACAGAAAATTGGCTTTAAAAAAGTTAATAGCTCATCCAATATACAAGAAATGAGTAATGAAACACTTAAGCAAATTTGCTTAACCTTTTGTTTGCCTTTCTCCCCAAAGGGGAATTCCAGTTCCTAGAGAATTAAAAAGTGGTCTTATTTAGAACTTCAAAGCCAAATAAATAATCAGTACTTCATATAAGTACTCACTCCTTCTACTCCTGTGGGAATCTGTCCGTTGATGTTAAGCGTTCTGAAAGGAGAATGAGTAGAGAGGCGTTTGTCCCATTCACTTGGCCGTGGCTCAGGAACAGATTCCATGAAGTTTTTCTTCAGTTCACTGATGTTAGCATGATGCTTCTTTATTTCTTCTTGGGTTTTATCTAGATCCTATCATTTTAGAAAAAAAATCCAACACAAACCACAGAAAGTTTTACTGAAGCGAATCTATAGCTTTCCTTGATGCTACAGAAAATTAGTCAAGTCAATTCTTTCTTTTTCCCCTCAGAGAGATAAAATGTACTGGTTAGTGCAGGATATCCCAAATAAAGCTCAACATTATTTGCAACATTATTTTTTTCGATTAGACTAACAAAAATAAACTCCCAATTATTATTTCAGGAGTGGCAATCTTCTACCTTTAGAACAGTTACCTATATTAAATTTCCAACACTCAGCAGATATTATTAGAGTCTAGATCTATTCAATACTTTGGAATTGATTCCAAGAAGGTGCTTCAGAACATGCACAAATGTATCAAGTAGTCTATATGCAAATGCTTAAACGAGATGCTTCTTTTCCTGGGACAGTGTGGCTATCTTCCAGAATTGCTACACAATCACGGGAAAAGATGTGGTTAATTATATATATGCCTCCACATTCCAAAGCACTGTTTTGGAAATCAAATCTGAAACTTGTAGAACTTAATTAGACTCTTTAAAGTTTTAATCCTGTATTCACAAGTGGTAAATTTTATTAAGCTTCATGAGACTTCTTTCTGAGCAGACATATATGTGATTTCTATAAGAGCCTTATTCAGTATCTTTTTATTTGTAATGTACTGTATACTGTATGATACACTAGTTATTAATCAAAACAACTTTTATTATCTTTTCAGAAAATACTGCAGTAAAGTTATTTAAAATCCACACACAAACACACAAGCCAAAAGATACAATTTGCCTGTCATGGAAAAAAACTCAGTCATAGAATATGGAACTTAATTTGGCTCTTGTGCCTTTTTGCCTGCTGTTAATCTTATATCCAAAAGGCTTTTACCAGCTGCAGACATAACTGACTGGTGTGATATATATCTTTGTGATTATAGTGTTGATACCAAAATCCACAAAAATTAATCATTGATCAATATTCCTAAGCTTAACCCTTGGCAGGAAAAAAACAAGAATGAGACTGCCAAAGTAAGTGGACATAATTGACTACTGTATAAAATTCACTGATGGGAAAAGCCATTTTAGTGAGCAAAAAAGGAACAAAGCTAAAGGTTCTACATTTAGGCAAGAAAAACCAATTGCACAAGTACAAGTACAGCATAGGTGGCACCTTGCTCAATAGTAGTAACTGTGAGAGGGACCTCGGAGTCCTAGTGGACAATCACCTAAATATGAGCCAGCAGTGTGCTGCAGCT